GTGCCCCTGCTTGTCATGACCAAGTGTTGATGGTCCTATGTCACGGTGCCCCTCCTTGTCTTTGCAGTGCCATTGGGGATTTCCAGGTGGACGACAAGACCAAAGACTTACTCAAGTACACTGGGGAGGTGACGTGGATACCTCCAGCCATCTTCAAGAGCTCATGCAAAATTGACATGATCTACTTCCCGTTTGATTACCAAAACTGCACCGTGAAGTTTGGTTCCTGGTCCTGCGACAAGGCAAAAATCGATCTGGTCCTGATCAGCTCCTCCATGAACCTCAAGGACTACTGGGAGAGTGGCGAGTGGGCCATCATCAAAGCCCCGGGCTACAAGCACGACGTCAAGTACAACTGCTGCAAGGAGATCTACCCCGACATCACGTACTCGCTGAACATCCGGCGGCTGCCACTGTTCTACACCATCGACCTCACCATCCCCTGCCTGCTCATCTTCCTTACGGTGCCCCTCTTCTACCTGCCCTCCAACTGCAGCGAGAAGGTGACCCTGTGCATTTCCATCCTCCTCTCCCTGACGGTATTTCTCCTGGTCATCACTGGGACCATTCTCTCCACCTCGCTAGTCATCCCCCTGATTGGAGAGTACCTCCTGTTCACCATGATCTTCGTCACCTTGTCCATCGTCATCACCATCTTTGTGCTCAGTGTGCTCTACAGAACCCTGACGACACACACGATGCCCTCCTGGGTGAAGACCGTGTTCTTGAGGCTGCTCCCCAGGGTCATGTTTATGACCAGGCTGAGCAGCAACAAGGGCAGTGCTCAGAAGCTGATGCCCCTCTATGGCGCCGAGCTCTCAAATCTGAATTGCTTCAGCCATGCAGAGGGCAAAGGCTGCAAGGACGGCTGCCCCTGCCAGGACGGGATGTGCAGCTACTGCCGCCACCGCAGGATGAAAATCTCCAATTTCAGTGCCAACCTCCGAGAAGCTCCAGTTCTGAATTGGTGGATGCTGTGCTGTCGCTCTCTGCTTTGTCACCAGAAATCAAAGAAGCCATCCAAAGTGTCAAGTATATTGCTGAAAATATGAAGGCACAAAACGAAGCCAAAAAGGTAAGGATGTGGCTATCATTACACTGGCCATTCATTCATCATTCAGCAGACATTCATGGGTTCTTCGTGGGGCAAGGCTTAGGGTAGCGGTTAAGAAATTAGACTCCAGGGTCAGTGGCCTGTGGTAAGACCAGTTAGATGTCCTTGGGTAAGTTTCCTTGACTCTCTGAGCCTGTTTTCTCATCTGTAAAATGGGACGATAAAGCTTATAGTATGTGGCACCCTGAAGCGGGCTGCACCATGAAAACACCTGATGCCAGGAGAGCAGATTAGAGGCTGGTAAAGGGCATGGGGCCAGATGACCTCCAGTGATTATTGGTTAACTGAGGTTAGAGTTTTATTTTTACTTTATTTTTATTTATTTATTTATTGAGACACAGTCTCACTCTGTTGTCAGGCTAGAGTGCAGTGGTGCAATCTTGACTCACTGCAACCTCCGCCTGCTGGATTCAAGTGATTCTCCTGCCTCAGCCTCCTGAGTAGCTGGGACTATAGGCGTGAGCCCCCTTGCCCAGCTAATTTTTCTATTTTTAGTAGTGAAGGGGTTTCACCATGTTGGCCAGGATGGTCTTGGTCTCTTGACCTTGTGATCCGCCTGCCTTGGCCTCCCAAAGTGCTGGGATTAGAGGTGTGAGCCACCATGCCTGGCCAATTTTTATTAATTTATTTTTTGAGACAGGCTCCTGCTCTGTTGCCCAGGCTGGAGTGCAGTGGCACAGTCTTGGCTCACTGCAGCCTCTGCCTCCGGGATCAAGTGATTCTCCCACCTCAGTTTCCCTGAGTAGCTTGAACTGCAGGTGCACCACCACCATGCCCTAATTTTTTACATTTTTTTGTAGTGATGGGGTTTTGCCATGTTGCCCATGCTGGTCTTAGACTCCTCGACTCAAACAGTCTGCTCACCTTAGTCTCCCAAAATGCTGGGATTACAGGCATGAGCTACCAGAGCTGGTCTTTATTTTTACTTTCTAATTGCACATATGTTCTCATTGAAGAAGAATTTACATGGAGTAAAGTGCACGCCTCTTCAGTGAACATCTCAATGAAATTTTACATCATGTGTACACTCACGTAACCATGATCCAGGTAAAGATACAGAACACTCCCAGTGCCCCAGAAAGCTCCCCAGCGAACATGCCAGTCAGTATCTTCCTCCCTGCTTCATGCCCGCCATCCTGCCTTGGGCTCAGTGGCTCACAACTGTAATCCCAGCAATTTAGGAGGCTGAGGCAGGTGGGTGGCTTGAGATCATGAGTTCGAGACCAGCCTAGGAAATATGGTGAAACCCCATCTCTAACAGAAATACAAAAATTAGCCAGGCATGGTAGCATGTGCCTGTAGTCCCAGCTACTCAGTAGGCTGAGGTGGGAGGCTCACTGGAGCCCAGGAAGTCGAGGTTGCAATGAGCCATGATCATGCCACTGCACTTTAGCCTGGGTGACAGAGTGAGGTCCTTTCATAAGTTAATTAATTAATTTTAAAAAGAACCATTATCCTGGCTTCTTTGATACTGATTAGTTTTACCTAGTCTTTTTTTCTTTTCTTTTCTTTTCTTTTCTTTTTTGAGAAGGAGTCTTGCTCTGTCACTCAGGCCAGAGTACAGTGGTGCAATCTCTGCTTACTGCAACCTCTGCCTCCCAGGTTCAAGCGATTCTCCTGCCTCAGACTCCCGAGTAGTTAGGATTACAGGCATGTGCAACCACACCCAGCTGTTTTTAGTAGAGATGGGGTTTTGCCATGTTGGCCAGGCTGGTCTTGAACTTCTGTCCTCAGGTGATCAGGGCTCTCAAAGTGCTGGGATTACAGGTGTGAGCCACTGCGCCCGGCCAGTTTTACCTATTCTTGAGCTTCATATAAATGGAATCACATAGTATATAAACTCTTATGTGTCTGACTCCATTCATTAAACATAATATCTTAAGGTTTATTTTGTTTTTGTTTCTTTGTTATTAGTGTGTAATACTCCACAATATGACTATAATACTATCTTCTGTTTGTTTTACATTTGTTGGACATTTAGTTATTTCTAACTTGAGGCTATTATGAATAAAACTGTTACAAACATTTATGACTTTTGGTGAATGTATGTGCTTATTTCTCCTGGATCTGTACCTAGGAGTGGAATTGCTGGATCATTGGCCTCAGCCTCCCAAGTAGCGGGGACTACAGGCGTGTGCCACCACACCCAGCTACATCTTGTATTTTTAGTAGAGAGGGGGTTTCACCATGTTGGCCAGGATGGTCTCGATCTCTTGACCTTGTGATCCACCTGCCTTGGGCTACCAAAGTGCTGGGATTACAGGTGTGAGCCACTGCCCCCAACCTTATTATTATTATTATTATTATTATTTTTAGATGGAGTTTCACTTTTGTTGCCCAGGCTGGAGTGCAGTGGTGTGATCTCAGCTCACTGCAACCTCTGCCTCCTGGATTCCAGCGATTCTCCTGCCTCAGCCTCCAAAGTAATGAATTACAGGCATGTACCACCACACCTGGCCAATTTTGTATTTTTAATAGAGATGGGGTTTGACTGTGTTGGTCAGGCTGGTCTCAAACTCCTGAACTCAGGTAATCTATGCACTTTGGCCTCCCAAAGTGCTGGGATTACAGGCATGAGCCACCGTTTTCTCCATAAATCTTGTGCTTGAACTTAAGAACGGGGAACTTATGTCAAATACTAAGAATAGGAAAGATTTACACTAAATAATGTCATGTGCCTGGTTATTCCATGACTATACCACCAAGGTTACCAGGATCACACTCAACGACTTTATGAGAAGCTCTGCTTTAAAATTCAGTGTCTCTGCCTTAAGTTGTTTATCAGCAAGAAGCTAATTACCAGACAACTGTATCTCTTGACCCACTGTAGGTAATTAATATTGATAAGGTATGTCCATTTCATTGTAATGGAGCCTCTTTTCTTCAGCTGTGGCGGGCATACCACAGTGGCTGGGACAGTGGGGAGACAGCCACAGCCGCCCCTACCTCCTCACCCCACTCATCAGAGCAGCTGCCAGCATGTCTTGTGACCATAATGGTGCAAAACCTCCAGCTAATCCCAGTAATTTAGCCGAAGAGTCAGGCATTTCTTTAAATTCAGTAGAAGTGGTTGTTGGACATCATAAGCAATTACAAGTAAACGATCAGTGAAAACCTATTTTTCTAATACTGGTAACTTTGCCAACATTCTCTATCCTTTACCCGCTTTAAAAATAATTTCTTTACTAAAGGTTGGGATCTAAGTACCCATACTCTAGCCTCCTTTGTCAGGCTATTAGAAATTACTTTTATTCTAAAAATTATTTATTAGATACTATACAAGGAGTTAGTTTCAGAAGGGCCTAAGGCACAGAGACAGACATATAAAAAACTTACAATTAAAAAAGAGGTCACAAACTTAAATACAAGGCAGGTAGATTGGTGAAATGGCCTGAATGCAGCAATAGGGAGTGGTGGGGTCTGTGGCAAACTGACGGCACATGGTCCGTCTCAAGGGGCAGCTACTGCTCACCTCTAGTCATGTTTCCACATGGGCATGTGAGCCCATTATTGCTGGATCTTGCAGGTCCTTTTTCAGAGAAGGCAGAAATCTGGCCATCAAGCCACCAGATAGTCTATGAGAAAGCAGCAAGTGTTAGAATCAAGTTGCCAACTCAGTGCTCAGAGGGGAAAGTTGAGCTGTTGGAAGGATTCCCTCTTTCCCTGAGTGACTGACACTCTGCTGTTTACACAAAGTGTTTCAGAGCTATGTTAATTTCCTGTATCTCTGGCTACAGCTTGGCTGGTTTTAACAGTCCCTGGCTCTGAGGAGCCTAGACTGAAGCCTAGGCTGTTTTCCCAGAGCATCTCCTGAGGGCGCTGGGAGCCTGTGAATGACCATCCCTGGACACACTCACTGGCTCCTAAGGTTGGGGAAGTGTTCAGCCTTCCCTGGCTGTTCGTTTTTAAAAAAATTGTTCACACCAAGAAGCAGCTTCTTCCCTGCTTCTCGAACCTCCGCCTGGATCAGCCCCCCTGCCTCCACTCTTGCCTCCACCATGTCCATCAGGGTGACCCAGAAGTTCAAAGGGTGTCCCCTTCTGGCCCCTGGGCCTTCAGAAGCCGCTCATACACAAGTGGGCCTGGTGCCTGCAGCAACTCCTCCAGCTTCTCCCTAGTGGGCAGCAGCAGCTTCCAGGGTGGCCTAGGTGGAGGCTGTGGCAGGGCCAGTGGCATGGGCATGGGTGGCATCATAGCCATCACAGTTAACCAGAGCCCCTTAACCTGGAGGTGGACCCCAGCATCCAGGCTGTGTGCACCCAGGAGAAGGAGCCGATCAAGACCCTCAACAACAAGTTTGCCTCCTTCATCCATAAGGTGCAGTTCCTGGAGCAGCGGAACAAGGCGCTGGAGACCAAGTGGAGCCTCCTGCCGCAGCAGAAGGCGGCTCGGAGCAACACGGACAACACGCTAGAGAGCTACCTCAGCAACCTTCGTGGCAGCTGGAGATTCTGGGCCAGCGGAAGCTGAGGCTGGAGGCGGAGCTTGGCAACAGGCAGGCGCTGATGGGGAGCTTAAGAACAAGTAGGAGGATGAGGTCAATAAGCAAATGAATTTGCCCTCATCAAGAAGGATGCAGATGGAGGTTCCATAAACAAGGTGGAGCTGGAGTCTCCTGGAAGGGCTGCCTGACGATACTGATTTCGTCAGGCAGCTGTGTGACGAGGGGACCCGGGAGCTGCAGTCCCGATCTCAAGCACATCTTTGGTGCTGTCCATGGACAACAGGTGCTCTCTAGACACGGACAGCATCATCGCTGAGGTCAAGGCAGCACGAGGACATCACCAACCTCAGCCAGGCAGAGGCTGAGAGCCTGCACCAGATCAAGTATGAGGAGCTGCAAACGCTGGCTGGGAAGCACGGGATGACCCTCCATGTGCAAAGACTGAGATCTCCGAGATGAACCAGGACATCAGTGGCTCCAGGCTGAGATTGAGGGTCTTAAAGGTCAGAGGGCTTCCCCAAAGCCGCTATCATGGATTCTGAGCAGCGTGGGGAGCTGGCCATTAAGGATGCCAATGCCAAGCTGTCCAAGCTGGAGGCCACCTTGCAGCATGCCAAGCAGGACATGGCGTGGCAGCTGCATAAGCACCAGGAGCCGATGAACGCCAAGCTGGCCCTGGACATTGAGCTCACCACCTACAACCATAATTTACCTACTAAAGGTTTTGAAGGCCGTTGGTCTTATTTAACCTAACTGTCTGTTATAGTCAGTGTTAATGGAGAGATGGGTAAGAGGAGGATGGAAGATATAAGTGGGGAAGGAGTAGCTGCCCCTGATGTCCTGACAAGTGAACAGCCACAGCAGCCCCTCCCAGCCTGCTCCTCCT